GCGCTGGAGGGGATGTTCCGGCAGTCTGCAGGAGATGGCTGAGAGAAGCTATTCAGTGCAAATTGCCGTTCCATTTAAGATTTGGTGCAAACCGCCTTTCGACCCACTATACAAGTTTTTTCCATAATTAGTTTAGGGTTATTTTGGTCCATCCATATCTATTTTACTCCTACTAAACTTTATTTCCGTGTCCACTCCTATATGTGCAATTTGTATTCCTTTTACTCCTATATTGGTAATTAACTCATAAACAAACTTGCATAAAGATAATAAGATATGATTTTTATATACACAGGGAAAAAAGGAGATATGAATACAAAAGAAAATACTGCAGTACAAAGTATTTCCTCCATTCCTTTTTAATTGAAACGGCCCATTTTTTAAGTTTGCCAACGCACAAGTTTGACAGTTAATATCTTTCATTCCATATCAGTAAAAAAACTAAAAAAATCAAAATTTTAAAATTTAAAATGAGAGGAATTTAAAAATATTTTTTAAAAGTTTAATTCATAATATGTAGTACATTAATAAATAAACAATAATCAAAGTAGAATACATGAATAATGCCAAAAGTCCTACATTACAAATATGTTTTACTAGATTAGAAAGATGATTTACTAGAAAGAAAGATGCTTTTCTCTAAGACAAATTAAAATAGGGAAATTCTATGATGCAACTATAAATTTTGCATGTATGGTACACTTTCTTATATAGGCAAATAAAACAATGCCACATGGACATTAAATCCATATATATTTTAATTATTTTCCATGTGATACAATATTATTGCCCCCTATGGTACAATCAAATTAAGGGGTGCACCATAGAACTCCCCATTAAACTAAGGGTCTGCTTGGATGGAGTGTTTGGAAGTGCTAGTAATGGAAGTGTTAGTAAGTGTTAGTAAGGGCTCGGAAGGGAAGAGAAGTGTAAGTGTTAGACATAATTTTACCTTGTTTGGGAGAGTCAAATGAATGAAGTGTTAATAATGGAAGTGTTAAAGAAAGAGTAAAGAAAGAGTAAAGAGAAGAGATGAAAAAACAAACCATCAGACCCGTGGGAAAGACATTCGAAGTGAAATGTCAAAGCATTTTATGTTTTTCGGGCAAATGAGAAGGGTAATAATTGTCCACACCTCAAAACAGTCCAAATCGGGGTGTTAAAAAATGGACAATTGAGGTGTTGGGAAGGTTATTATTAACACTTCCTAATCATTACTAACACTTCTTAACACCTATGGTTTTTCTCCCAAACAAGTGTTAACATCAACACTTACTAACACTTCTATTACTAACACTCCTCAACACTCAATCCAAACAGAGGCTCATGAATATTGAAATCCTCAAATTAAAGGGGGGAAAATTACGTACCGCACCGACATCCAGATGAACAACCTTGACCTCAAGAGACGCGAAGTTCTTAATGTTGTATTCATTGAGGATGGTGATGGTGGAAATGGTTGACTGCGGCATCACCTTCAAGTCGTCCATGACCATATAGGTCGCCACAGCCCTCACAAACCCACCCCCTTCACCCTTACTCAAAGAAGTCGCCGCCTCCGCCGCTTTCACCGGAGTAATGTCACTCGCCTCAACGTTCATGTATTGTTTACAGCTGGAACAAATAGTGTTAGGGTCATCGGAGTACGACCGAGTTTGGTTGCAGCCATAGCCGTTTCGCTTGCCACTACAAAAGTAGACCTTCTTCGCCACCGGGGCGGCGGCGGCGGGGGCAGGCATGAGGAGTGGCACTTCCACGGATAGATTAGGCGGTTTTGGGTTCAAGAAGGCGTCTTTGTTTGTACCCGGTTGTAAATAGGTGTCGCTGAGGTCGGCGATGCTGCCGTAGAGATTTCCGAGGGCACCCACCATGCATTTCTGGGTCACAAGTTTTATGACGGTTCCCAGCGGCAGTGACATGAGGAAGAACAGGAAATCAACGAAAGGTTTCTCTGCTTCAGCAAAAACAACCTTTTTAGCGTTCTTGTTTATGAGGAGCTTCAGGCTCACCGTTGTCGGGGCCGCCGCAGCCATTACAACCGTGAGAGACGTTCAGGTCGACTACTACTAATATAATGAAACTTCGTGAAGTGAATTGGTTTAAAATGAACTTCCCATAAATGCTTCGAGTCGTACATGCCTGTTTAATTACACCGTGCTCAAATTGTAAGAACAATTTGATGCATTTTATGAATAAACACAATTTCAAAATAGAATAATTATTTTTATGTGTCATAGGCAATTTAATTTGTCTCTACACAAACAATTTAAATTATCTGTGAACAATTATCTCTACACAAACAAATGAAAATTCATTTTATTCTAAAGTGACGGTCAAATTGTCTACACAGATAATTTGACCATGGAAATTTCCCTCAAACAATAGGAACCATGGAAATAATAATATCAACAATATGGATTATCTACTTATAATTATAATTGTTGTGACAGGATATAACTTACTATAACAGGTCAATTTAAGTCTAGCCTGAATTGATCTTGTCTTATGCATATCTCATCTATGTGCATTACACAATTGTAGAAGTTGATATGATGTGCCCTTGTTTATTTAAGTCTAACTGATCTATGAAACAAGTCCAATTAAAAACATTCTTGAGGCACAATTCAAACTTTGACTTTGATGGATTTTCAAAGACCACGAATTTTAAAATCTAAGGGAGTCTAATTAATTTTTATGTATTTATCTTTTAATTACACATCCCCAAAATCTTTTGGGGCTAAATCTTGGATGTGTTTGTTGTATCTTTCATTACGCATGTCACACATATATACTTTCGACGCTTTTGCATTGGAGATATTCTAGAAAGTACATAATACTCCGTACATTGTACTAGTATTACCTTTATTACCATATATAATATACTCCGTTAATATGAGTAATTTTCTATATACTCAAATGTTTGATTTTTATATGATATCAATGTCATAAAAATGATAATAATATAATACGAATTCTAAACTTTGGGAATATAAAAAAGTTTATTTTTTAAAAGTGCCAAATTTATCATTTTCCAATTAACCCTGACTGTTTGCTTTCCGACTATGGCTTTTCATATTAACCCTTACACGTACGCCGTTTGAAAAAACGTGAGATGTTATTATTCCATAGATTACTGGCTTTTGAAGAAATTTGATCGTTGGCTTTCCGACTGCCCCTCACATTTTTTATCTTTTCTCGATTTTTCATCATTAAAGATTCTTGAAACTCAAACTGTTGGATCATATCTTGTGTGGGAATTTGGAATTTTTGATCCGGATTGAACTCGGAAGACGCAGAGTCGAGTATGGGGGCATTATACGCATGCATTACGCACCTACAGGCTACAAGTCTAGAACTACATATGACATCCTCATCCATTAGATTATTTTTGGGATCATTTTGATGATGTGAATAATTTTTTAGGATCATAGATGACGAGTTGAGATTATTTTATGAGATTATTTGATAAAATAATTTGGTATCAAGTTCTAAAGCTAGATTATTTTGAGATTATTTTCAACTTTTAGACTCCTCTCTCCATTTTCTAAGCATATAATCATAATTAAGGTGATGCCTAGCTTTGTAGTTCGTGCATGTTTCATAAAAAATCTAGGTAAATTAAGATCATGAATGAAGAGAAATTGATAGGTTTGGAAATTATTTGAGATAATCTTATGTGGAATTGACATGACAATAAGAAGTCATAAAAAACGTAAACTTGAGTATCATGATCATGGAGATGCTCTTAGGGCATCTCCAACGGATAGCTAATTGTTCCGTAGCTTGACTAACCACATAAGCATTTGTAGCAAAATTGAAATGTACTCTAATACTTACCTATAACATTTTATTTTTCATTTATTATTAGTAATGCTTTATTTAATAATTCCACTACCTCAAGCTAGTAGTGTATTTAGGCTAATTAGCTATCTCAAGTAAAAGGAAACGTAATCCTCCAATGGCAAGCTATTAGCTTTAAAACTGCAAGCAAGTCCTCAAGTCAAACGAACCATTAGAGATACTCTTATATTAGTTCACCTTAGTTGGATCTTGATATTATTATACTACTCTCTAGTATATTTCGATGTTGTATCTATACTTAAAAATTAAAATTGTATTTAATTAGATTGAATTATCTGATTTGATCTCGTTTGATTTGATTTAATCTATTTAAGTAAGTTTGATATGAGTTTGTCTTGTTTGATATTCCTATGATTTATTTGTATTTTACAATTATCAAAGTCTGATTTAATATGATCTGTTCTAATGCATTTTAGTCTGGTCTAAGTAGTTAGATTTTATATAAAGAATGTACACATATTATACCCAACAAATGCAGATCAAGATTTACTATATAGGCTACTACCTTTTTAAATTTTTTTATACACCCTAAAATTATTTAACAATATGATAAAAACAAGACATTATCTTATTCTCTGTATGATAGTAGTAAATATGATAGATGTAATCATATTCATAATTGAGTATTTAAGCTTCATTATGAAGAATTTGTAATTCCACTAAAAGATGTCAATATTGAATTGTCTTACTATACACGAGAAGTAGTTTTATGGATAACCTCGAGTAAATTCCACATTTTCTTTACGTACAAACTGACATCCTTGAATCTGATCGTGATCAGCATGACCAAGTACACAAAAAAGTTTATAATAACTTTGACTTATTAAATTCAAGTTATAATGATTTCTTGCAAAATACAAACACAATTTTGTTGCAAAATACAAACCCATGTAATGACACTTTAGTTAATTAGGTTATGATGGCATAGGGTGGACCCGCCCCACATAGAGCATGTCATGAGCCAACACCTAATGACTTGTGTGGGTTCCTACATTCTCCCCCTCATTCGACACATTATCGATCACTAAAAATGAGTATTTATTTTTTCATGGTCAACATTTTTTATCGATTAGTGTTAAAGTTAAATACTCACTATTAATAACTAATTCAATTTGGAATAATGAAAATGCAATACATTTAAAACTCTTCAGAATACCAAATTCCAAGTTAGAATATAATTAGGGCGTTTAACAAAAAAAGGTCATTTGGGATCACTTCAATTCGTGAGCAATCCTCTAGCTGTCCTGACTGTCCATATTCAGCGCGTACGAATTGAAGTACCAAAGGCATTTCCCTACGTACACACGGACGTCGATATTCTCCGCCGGCCTTCCGTCCGACAATGGCCGCCGCAGCACCGGCGTTGAGCTTGAAGCTCCTCATCGACAAGAAGGCCCAAAAAGTGGTGTTTGCGGAAGCCCAGAAGCCATTCGTGGACGTTTTGTTCTACCTCATGTCATTACCGCTGGGGACCGTCATAAACCTCGTAACCGAGAAATCCATGGTGGGTGCGCTTGGCAAACTCTACGGCAGTATCGTGGACCTCAGCGAGACTTACTTGCAGCCAGGAACGAACAAGGAAACCTTCTTGAGCCCGAAAGTGCAGACACCATTTCCTTCAGAAATGCCACCGCTCCCCTTGCCGGCGGCGGCTGATCCGGTGGGTAACAAGCAGGTTTATGTTTGTCCTCGCTACGACTCCCACAATTATAATACAGGTTATCGATGCCGCACCGCTGCACGGTACTCCAATGACGCGGCAGCTTGTTGTCCGGACTGTAAGTCTTACATGAACGCACTGATGAGTTACGTTCCTGCTGTGACTGCGCCGGCGGCGGCGGAGGCCTCTTCCAGTAAGGGTGAAGGAGGTGGGTATGTGAGGGGTGTGGCGACGTATATGGTGATGGATGACCTCAAGGTGATGCCACAGTCAACAATTTCTACCATTACCGCCCTGAATGAGCAAAACATCAAAGACTTTGGATCCCTTGAGGTTAAAGTTGTCAACTTGGGAGTTGATGCGGTAAGTACGTACAATATACTACCTGAGTTCTCTTTTAGTTCTAAGGTTGAACTTTTTGCATTGTTCTGTATTTATTTATGTATTACTAGTACTACCCTGTCCCATTTATATCAAGACGGAATAGAGTGACACAGTTATTAAGAAAAGTGAGTTTGTGTGATTGATATTAATTGATAAAGTAAGAATAAAGTAAAAATGATTTAGAGCTACACAAACTTTGCCAAATATGGTATGCGACAATTTAAGTGAGTTTTCCCAAAAAGGTAAAACGAGACAATATAAATGGGACGGAGGGAGTATAAATTAAATTTTAAAAAAATATCCTTAAATTTCTCACATTTTATTTTTTCAAAATCTAAATTTTATTTTAATTTTTACAAATAAGTAATGAAAGATACGAATGATCAAACTTGTGCGTTGACAGACATGAAAGTGGACTGTTGTTATTAAAAAAGAACGGTGGAAGTATATGTTGACTTAAATCAATATGAAAAATAGGATTATATCCACTCTTATAGTTATCTCTTTTATACCTACTGAGAGACTTTTTTTTGTCTATGAATCATCCATTCTATTCACATACAAAACATATATACATAACTTATATAGAAATTACTTCAAATAGGACTAAAACTATGACAAAAACTCAAAATAGGACTTCCTATGTTTTTATTCCAAAATAGGACCATAGTGGTCCTATTGGAAACATACTCATTTCTTCCTTCTTTTCTTACCCCTCCTTTAATTAGACTTTTTGTTTCATGTGTTTACGGAGTATATTTTAAACCTACTTATGATTTTTTTTTCTTTTATCAAGTATACAAAGTACAAACATGAATAATTATACGAGTATTTAATTATAATTATTCTTAAAATAGACTTTGTGGCACTGGAGTAATGATTTTAAAATTGAATTTATTTGTTTGAAAAAAGAAAAAAAAAACAATTCAAACTTGTTCAATGATAAGTACGTCTTGCTTTTGTTGCCTGATTTTGTTTTGAGTTGGCGGTACATCATGCTTATTAATACTCCCTCCGTCCCGAATTATAAGACATTTTTCGGTTTACAATGTTTGACTGACGATAAAGCAAACAGACCCCTATCTGAACTCAAATTATTTGTAGAAAACAAAATTACATATTCTGAAACTACATTAAAACCGCTACAAAACCTGCAAAAAATAGTTCAAATTTCATAAAATTTTGATATATAAAGTAAGAAATTAAGGGTGATTTGTGTTGATCAAGTGAATAGTAAATGTATTTTATAAAATGGGACAGAGGGAGTATGTTTCTAAGACAAGTCTAATATATTTTAGAGCTTTATATAAAAAATGTATTCCCTCTGTCCCATTTTACATGTCTTTCTTTTTTGGGTTGTCCCAAAATTATTGTCACCTTTCCCTTTTTGGAAAGAAATATGTGGTTGACAACATTTCACTTTACTACACTCAAATCTCAACCACAATTTTTACCTATTCAACCACTTTATTAAAAATTGTGCCAAAATCAAAAGAGATACATAAAATGGGACGGATATAGTATTAAAATAAAATTTATTTAAGAAATGCTTTGTATATATGTGCTTTTTGTGTACATTTTGACGTACGTTATCCGTCTATACAGACATTAATTTCATATGGAAATACATAAATTATTTGTATTTGTATATAGATAACTCTTCGGTGTTTAGTGTTCATCAAACACTTTCAATATAAATTGCTGCATTGTTTGAGACTTTGAGGTGGTATGCAACATATACAAATGACTTATATATACTGTTGATTATTATTTGTTATCAGGGATTGAAATTGCTGAAGGCTTCTCTACAAACTGAGTCAGTTCTCACCACTGTCTTCCTTGGGAAGTAGGCACAATCCATTCATGATTCATCCACGTTTGGTTGGTTACGTTATGAACGTTCTTGATGTATTTCAATTTAGTATTTGTGATTTGTCGTGTGCTAAAATCTACACGCGGTGCACTTTTTCTTGATTCATGCTTATGAACAATCTTCTCAACACTTCTATCAATTTAATTAGTGCTCATCATGATTTCAGTTTTCCAATAAGTTCTGCTCTGATCTCTCTTTTCATCTGCGGGAAGGATGTAAAAGTAAAGTTTAGCAAATGCTAAAACTTTTGGGAATTTATCCTCACAATGAATGGTTGAAGTTAATGATTTGAAGGTGAAACATGATAAAAAGTGTACTCCGCATTAGATTGAAGTCTTTTGGACGTTTGGATGAACTAGGGGTGTGACCAATTAATCAAACAAGTTGTCTTGCAAATTAGTCGAAACCACTTGAGTCTAGTTCTACCCGACTCGATCAATACAAGCTTGAATTGATTCGTACTCAAATTCAACTCAAATCAAGATATACCCAAAATCAGATTCGAAAAGTTCACACATATGAGTAGGGTGGCAATGGTTTGGATATCAGCCGGAACTGAAGATTCCATATCTGTATCTGTCAAATTTATTTCTGTCCAGACCCATATACCCTACGGGTTGAATTGTTCTTTAATTTACTCTTTTGCTTACATGAAATCATAAGAGTACATTGACATGTTTTCACGATCCCGCTAACCGTGTAGTAGTAAAAAAAATTGACGCTCATTCCAATGGTATTTCACAGCACTTGTTGCCTCTTCTACAAAGAATTCAATCTGACTTTTCAAAGAATGTATATATATTCATGTATTCATGTTTACTTTGATACTTCTCCTATACAGAATGGCTTTAACATAGCACTTTACAACTCTCTCTCTCATACACACACAACATGAAGTACAAGTGGCAAACACTAACTAAAAGGTTTAAGGCAAAAATATTACATTTCTATAGAGCTCTGTAATTTTAGGACTTTCCAAGCCTAGAATGTAAGATTCCATCTAACTCCATTAGCATGTGACCTTTTGGGAGGTGTCTAAAAACAAATCAGTGCACACTCAACAGAAACTGGTACGTCATACCAATTAGGAGTTAATGCGAGGTTAGGGATCCTGTTAAAACCTTGAGAGATGTTTAAGTGGTCTATCTTTCCTTTCTATCCGCGCTTCATTGCATGAGGCAGTTTTGCCTTCAGTAAACGATCCTTAGAGGCATGAGGCTTTTCTGCAGGTGGTTCATGACCTGTTTCTTCTGATGCCCACTTTTCCTCTACTAGATTCTCTGGACCGTTAAAACGGTCAAAACTTTGTTCTGTATGCTTATCCTCATTTTCATTTGGCTTACATCCCCGTGACAATGTATGGCTTCTGATCAAACCATTGAACAAAGAACGTCGGGTACTTACGTGCTTACTCTTTCTTCCCTCAAGACCCTTCGATTCTTTGACCTCATAAATCTTATCCTTGGATTGCATATTTGGACTACAAAAAACAGGCAATTCAGGCAGTCGTTCGGATTGACATTTTTTCATCGTAGGATTTGATTCTGTTATCTCTTCTTGCTTATGCAGTCCGCTATTAGAGCATTCTCCAACAATCTCATTTCGTGGAGCACCTTTCTTTTCTTGATTCAACAATCGCACGTGATTTCTTCTGCCATTGACAGACTTTTTGGCTTTGAGAAACTCTTCTATTTCAGAGCCTAACTTTCCCAAGATTGTTTCATTATCTGAATTATCAGAACCCTCGACGGCCTTCATCTGCATACGCTCATCTAGCCAAGCTTCTGAAATATGAAGAATCAATTTATCATTTGGATCCTCAAACATCTGATCTTTTCTTGATTTGGACTTCAAGGACCGTACTTCTATTTCGTACTTTTTTATTTCTTTGGCAAACTCATCACATAAGTCTTCCAGCATAGTCCGTGCCTTCCTTTCTCTTTCAAGTTCTATCTTTGCATTAAAGAAAGATTGACTATCCTCTGGAATTTGTAACTTCTCCATTCCATTTCTTTCTTTCTTGTAGATCTTCTTCTCTTCTTGGAGTTCTTTAATTTGGATTTTGGAGCGCAATAGTTCCCTTTTAAGTGACTTAACCAGCGATATTTGTGACGCGTGTTGCTCTTCAAGACTCCAGATCCTGTTTAGTACCCGTAGTAGCTCTGTGGATGTTTTGAAGTGGTAAGCTGCATTTCCGCTTCTACCCTTAGGATGCAACGCATGTCTACAAGGTGAAATCTGGCACACCATAAAAGGCAGTTGGTAAATATTAATTGTATCAAACACATGCTCATATAAAATGGACATATGCTCTTAGGCCGATTTCTGATTGAAAACGGGTCAAACCACACTAAGAGATTGTATCTAATCCGTTAGCTATTCCATTTAAGAGAATATGAATATGCAAAGGTGGAATAGTGGAAGGGCAAACCATAAAATATTACCTCCATTGAGCTACTGCAACCTTCAAGGGAATCAAACATTATAGAATCACCATTTTTTGCAATAGATTGATTATGCTGCTTCTTTAATACAGCTACATGCCTGCTTGAATCATCAGCTGCCTGCCAGATGGACAAAGGCAAATGATCTCTTCGTGCAATAAATACAAAAAATAGATTGAATAGTTATAAATAAGTAAAACTAAGCACTGCCTTATGGTTAAAAGGACATAAAAGTGATAAAACCTATTAAGCAAACAATATCTTGTCTGCTACCAACTCACACCAAACTTCTTACAACCATCAGCATAGCCTTACCCCATGGAATAAAACTTCTAGGGTCCGTTTGGAATTTAGAAAATATAAGGGTTAGAAATAGGGAGGAGCTAAGAGAGAAAATTTGGAAGGAATGAAAATTTTGAGTAGATAAAGTTGCTCCACACACAATAGATCAACTTTAAGATTATGTTCGAATTCATTCTAAGTATATGTAAATTACAAAAGGCTTTTATTTTCCTTCATATTTTACAAGATAAACCAAACCTAAAAACCCTACTAACTTCTTATTCCATCCCATGCCATTTTCCAAGTCCCGAAATCGTGTCAATCATTGCCTTTATTGAATACTTATAGATATGAACCATTCAAATATCCAATTCAATACTATTTTCAGAACACTTGGAAATTATGTAACAGAAATTCAAGCCACCTTCATAAGGAAGTATAAAAAACTAACCTGATCTGGTGGGGAAGGAAGGAGAAAGCCTTTGTCTTTGGAATAGTTAAACCTGGGTTCAGCTTTGTTCATCTTGACTAAGAGGTGGGGTTGTTGAATTTCCCACAATATAGACCCAAGTTTTCTAACAGAGAGAGGGGTGGAAAGAAAGGTGGGATCTTGAACAAGAGTACCATCAATATGTGCCAACCCATATCTCCATTTTTGTGATGGAGTAGAATTGCCCCCTCTTTTCCCCACCAAAACTCTTCTTTTCAACTCTTCTTCCTTCTTTATGTTCCTACTCGCTTTACTCTTTCCCTTTATTTCCATCTCTCTCTCCGATTTTCAAAATTCTTTGGTGCTTAAATTACTCATAGTCTCATAGTCTTTCTCGCATCCTTCCAAACTCCGTGATGATTACCCACCGCTTCAGGCTTTAACTTTATCTCGAAAATGGAAAAATTTCATGCTCCTTTCCCGTCTCTCTCTGGTCCTGTCTTCTGTAGATTTCCCATTGTTGAACAGAGAAACAGAGCCTCTGTGACATGCTCATATGCGAGTAATTGTTATTTTTTGGAAAGTTTTGTTGTATACATTCTCAAGAAAAAGGGCAGCTTAGGTGTGCAACCACTGAAACGTGGCTTTCAGCAGGGCCCTAACTGGTTATTGAGGGTGCCCCAATTTCATTATACTTCATAAAGTAAAAATTGTGTAATTGAGATTTGTTAGGAATGAAATTGATAATTTTTTTAAGACGTCTGATAAGAAAAATTGACACATGCAATTTGCAAACCTCATATAGTCATTCAATTTGCAATTTACCATTTGCAGTGAATTATTAGGTTATAAATCATCAATGATGTGATACTTAATCAAAACAATTCTGTTGCGGTAACTTGGCAAAGTAAAAAAAAAAATCTTTGGAGATACTTCCTCTATCCGTGAAACAAATTCCACCTTTTCTTTTTAGGCAGTTCCTGAATTAAGTTCCCACTTCATTACATTTCTTTATTTGATAAATTATCTACATCAAAATAGTACTCAAACAGTGTCAAAACAATAAAATTTACCCTCAGATAAATTTATTTCCTTAATATGGGTGAAATTCATCTAGGATCTTGTTTCGGGGACAGAGGAAGTATATCACAGCGATGATGAATACATACATTCAATGTTCTTCAATCTATCATTTAAAACATATCTTTATTTATAGGTAGTGCTCCCTATGTCCCATAAAATTCTTCCCATTTACTATTTTGAGATGTTCCAAAAAAATCTTTTCATTTTCCTTTTTGAAAAGTTTTGTGTGACTAACATTTATTTATCTTTTTTTACTCAATCACAACCATATTTTTCCATTTTATTCTCACTTTCTTAAATTCTGATCCACGTCAAACCGGAAAGAATTTTATGGGACGAAGGGAGTACTTATTATGATAGATAAATATAAATTCCATTCATTCTAGAGTCCTTTTCACATGTTTATATTTAGAAACACGCATTATAATTAAAACTAAAAGGATAATGAGTGATGACATACTGATGGAGTATACTTCAGTTAATTAAAGTTGTAAAAGAATGATAAAATGAAAAACTAATTTAACATATACAGTGACTCGGTGATCTTTAAGTTCAGAACAGAATGACTTCCCCCAATGTCTATGAATACATGAATGAGATGATGCAAGTAAAAAAGAGTAATGGAATTTGTCCCTCTCCTTTCCATCCTTTTTTTTATTTTCTGGAAAAAATATCTATTAGACCACGATATCTAGGTAATGTTTCCTAATAGGTAATGTTTACCATTAATCTAGTACACCCGGCCAAGTGTGTAAAAGTGCAGCAACGGATTCACTGAAACCAATGTCAGGATGTTTTGGCAGCAATAGATACACTGGACCAAATTCTTGCAAGTCATTGTTGTGTTTAAAGACCATAGAAGCATCAACCATCTGCTCACAAGGCTCATGTATCGTAAGTAACAACTCTTCAGACAGTTCCCCCCTTTGGGCTTTGGCATAGTACAAAACAAATACGGAGTAAGAAAGAGCACGCAGGCTGTTCCTTAATAGGTTCAACCCCGTCCCTGTGCTCTCTG